CCAATTACGAACGTGAAAAGCAGAGAGAGAAACATCATCATTGAAGTCGCCACTCTGTTGTAGGTACCTTGCACGGTGACCGCTAGCACATGTAAGCGCACTCAAAAATAAATTGCTCTTCTCATCGTCAGATTTATTCCACCCAGCCTCGATTGATAGCAGTGTAGCCGAAAGTGCGCATGTGAAAGCACAGTTCGGTGCAGTCATGTTCTAGACTACATATCCGTCATACCTAACAGTCAGTTGGCAAGCGGTGGCAACCCGCTTTCCACGATACACTTACGACACATCACTTTTCGGTTATTTTGTTGCAAAAACTACAGACTCGACTGTGATTGCTATTATTGTCCCCTTGTGTACGAGATGAATCAGTCCACGCTCAGTTCACGTTAGTCTTTAATATGCTAGTGCTGTCACGAGATGCGTGTTCTCGATACCTCGTCGTCTGCGTCATCTTTGTGTCGACATCTTGTAACGCCAACATTTCCCACTACGCCGTAAAATGTGGACGAAATATGCAGCGCTTCACACCGACTTTGCAGACCTGGTCACGCGCTATGCTTTTTGGTCACTACGTAGATGGTATAGTCCGCAGTAACATACTACTTATGCAAAACTAGGTGGGGAACTGGAGATAGCAATTTCTCGTTGCTCATTTCGACTACTGCGATGCTGTTTGTGCATAAGAATACTCTTCTGTGTATCCTCACTCGTGCATATTCTTGCGTATCGTACTACCATCCGTCGGCTGGCATGAAGTGAATTAACAGCTTTGAAAGCAATTATGTAAGTCGACATTGCACCCGTTCTTTGGACTGTTGCAGCTCGCGTGCCAAAAAAACTCTTGCTCATGAGGTTCGTCCGCGGAATGTCCGGAGCAATGACACTCACTTATAACCGCTGCAAAAAGTTGCAATACTACGTAAGTGAACCGGTATCCCGCTTGTGCCACGACGCACATGCGTAGTGCCAGTCGGTGAACAAGCGAAAAAACACGAGTACGGTTTGTGTTGTTTTACTGAATTAGTCATTTTGAACGTGGCCAGATTTACGATACTGGTCTTACAAAAAGTAGATATATCAAGCAACTCGGTCAATCTTCGACAGACCAAGACGCAGGCAAACGTAGACATTGTTGAATACTAAGTCGAGCTGCGAGCGGATCATAGCATTCGTAAATATAGCGACTCGAGTGTGACAACCTTTGTGGCTATAGGAAATGAAGGACGGCAATATCGGCGGGTCTGATTGGCAATCAATTCTGTGATGGTTAAGTTGAGGTGGCGGTACTCCTCGCTAAAGCGCAACTTGCACAGAGTAGTTGTTGTCGGCACATTGCCACGACTCTTTTGGTTCAGGACTCGTACCAGGATGTGCATGTCTTCCCGACGACAGGTAGCTGCATAGGCAAGCGCCAAACAGCCAGATTCTAAAGCAAGTGGCGGTAAATGGTCTTAAATACCACAAAGATACCCAAATACATACATATAGTTGCCGCTTGTCTTCGTAACTTGTTGAGACAGCTGTGGACACCAGTTGTCAGACCCATTGATCTACAAAACGATTATTGAATGCGTTCTCCTGACACGGTGGTTGCGCGATGGCGTGGGAGCTCTATCATATACATTCCACTATGATGCGGGGGCGCGCATCCCAATCAGACCCACGCAATCGCATGTACGACATTTATAGCCCTCACAACTAAGTTCTTGGTCCCCAATATTCTCTTCCTCCTTTGCATTTCTGTTCACCGCACAATGATCGACACCAACAACCTACGGTCAGATTTTTGCTTTACTATCATCGGCCATAAAGTTCGATCAGCGAATCGTTGACATATCGGAGCATTATGCTGTAGGACAACTTTCATTTTATTTTATTATGACGAAAAAAGCACGAAGTAGCAGCGACTTGATTGCCGAGATTGTCGATATTGTCCAAACCTGGTCTTAGACCATCGCTCCACTTGGTTCCAGAGAGAAAGTTATCAAACCATGACCGGATTTATAAATTACATACTTCGGCTATTGATATGGAAGTCAACGCGTAGATCTCTATAGCAAGTGTATAGTCATACACTCCTTAACACAAGGACGCCAGCATCATACTCACCCGAATCGATAAAAGAGACTGCACCTTCTCCTGACCGACATCCTTTTGAAGCGCTGAAGAGAACGTTCGTGGCCCAACCACGCTACATTGAACACAAAGGGTACACCACCACACTTTTCTTAACTCAAGACGAAAAAAGACAAGACCTAGACCTGCCGTTTAACCTGAGTGCATGACGCCGTGTTACATGTAACAGTGGAATGTGCTTGACGCATCAACATGCAAACAACGGCATATCTGTTCTATCAAAGTGCACGTTCACTATCCACATGCGAATCATCAATTTCCGACCTGCAAGCCAATGGTTTGAATGGATAAGTGTTGCAACAGTGACATCGTAACTGCGACAACGAGGGGAAGCAAACGATGGCTTGTCATCTACCAACGACTTACAATTTGCTCAACTGTCCCTGGTGGTCCGACAGAGATACCCTATCTTTGTTGTTTATACGAAGATGCACGACAAATTGACGACGTGGAATGCGTTACATAGAAACATCGTGTAGCTTCGTATTTACCATCATGCCAACAAATGAGGTAAATCGGTCCGGTACTTTTTCTTTGCAAAAGAGCCCAAGTTTTTGCCGCGCAGCTGTATTCAGCTGTCCTAATTTCGATGAAACAAATGTTACGACACAAAACACAACACCTTGAAACGAGCATGTTGTCGCGTCTTTTCTCCGATTGGTCTCGAGTATGCCGCCCATTACAACTTACAACACGTTGTTCGTCGACTGCTGTTGGTATAAAATTGACTGCCACGCCTGTGAAGCTCTTTGCACGCGGCTGTATACAGCGCTTTGTTGTACTATGCAATGCAGCGATTGGTTATTCTACCAGGAGGTTGAAAACCCGCTCTACCCCCTTCAGTCAACGAATACCTCATTGTAATCGACAGAGCAATACGAAAGTCTTTTGCGTGCTACAAGAAGATGTCGATATCATTGTATTCTTGTCAACGAGTTTATCCGCCGTCGAAGTGTTCAGTTTTCCTGTCATCAATCCGGGCATCCTCGTAAAGTAGCATCTCAAGGCATCTCTCGTCGAGGTCGATGTCAAGCATTGGTTGCCACACAAATCGTCTTGCCGTCCTCATTCAAATGTCCCTTCAGCACAAATGTGTGACATTGAACGAGCCACAATAGCACCCTTTTGCTTCGGATATTGCAATCAACTCATCACTTTCGCATGTGACCCCGGTGTGGCGGCAACGAGTCTATCTTACGACTGCTCCGCTCACTCCAAGCAAACGGGGTCCGATACGTATGCATGCATGAATCTTGGCCGCGATGTCGATCAATCTCGCATCATACAGAGAAAAATACTTGTAAAAGGTGTCTATTGAATCGACGCATACGCAAATGAAATCCAGTGCAAGTCAGCGCTGATGAACGTCTGCACTTGGCATGTCTCTCCGAGTGCTCTTTATACGCAGAATGAATATGGGATCAAACGAAGCGCTGCTTTATGCGTTTCGAAGCTGCATCGGAGCATCGTGGCCACATGTACTCGGGTGACGCATCGAGATGAGCATTGTGTCTGAGTTTACCGGTATCGTGGATCTCGCACTATCGTATATCCTTACTTATCCAGCCCTTTGTTATCGTGACAGCGCCGACTGACGCAATCGTGTATATGTCCTTACTCGATCAGTAGCTTTGTTATCACAGCAGCGACGAACGACCTGATCCTCGATGCGGATGACATCTCGTACAAGCTTTGACTGGAACTTGATGGAAGGCGTTCAAGTAGCACAATTATCCTCAATCGGTCGAAAACAAAAGTGTAGCAGCGTTGTGGTTCATTCAGTCCTTTCGGGCGGGGGGCTATCGTTGTATATTACTTGACGGCAGGCTGTGCAGCAACATACTAACGAAAGTACACGGTCAAGCCGCCTCTTCATATCATGTCAACGATAAGAGCGATGGCTGGTGGCAAGTCGCGTGTGCCCTATAAATAACGTGATTATGCAAGAAAAAGTCGGCACGTTCATGTTCACAGAATTGTATGATTGCAAAACTCTAGTCATCACATTACATGCCAATGCGCACCATAAAATTGTAGAGGTGCGTTTTTGCATCGTGAATGCCTCGCGCTATTGTTCCAATGTGAGTCATGCCGCGCAAGATAGGACACATTACAGCTCTGACAAGCGATTAGCGAGGGGCGGGGTGGCTAGAGCAAGAATGACTCGAACGTGGGCATGACAAAGTGGTACCGCGACTTCTCTTGGACCTGTCCGTCGCTGCCTGTCTTCCCGTGTAGAGCATATTGATACCTGCACATGTAGTACTAACATGTACACGTCATGTACATCGTTGCATTAGTCGTCACACCACGGTCCCAGGCACACGTGTGCATTTGCATAAACCGATGCAAGAGGACTTGCCTGCCTTGCTCGACCTGAAAGCTCCGCTTGAGTCGAGGAGGGTAGCAGGATCGCAGTGCCTGCTTGTCAGATGGGCATGCCCGTTCGTGCCATCCTGACGCCAGCGCTCAGTATACCCACTTCCTAAGCGGAAAAGGGACGCAGCCGTACATCTCCCACATCCCCCCCCCGCCCCCGCCTTACTTATTGTCTGTCTCGTCTCTGGTTGCGACTCGTCGCTGCGTAGAAACGCAGCGACTTGTGTCGAGCTATTGGCGACTTCGTTTGCTTCCCTGTCGCTTCCTGACACATCTGAGTTTGGTCCCAAAGCCAGCCAGCCAGCCAGTCAGTCGATCAGCTTGGGCACTGTGTAATTTGCGTTGGACGTCTCACTTCAATCGGATAGACAAGCGCGAGTCACACTTTTGCAGCAGACCGACATCGCTAATTACGTGTCCCCATTTCTCCGGAACGGAAGGGCACCCTCGTTGGCGGTCAAGTCGGCCACGTTTTGCTAGCAATGGACTCCTTCCGCCGAGGCACAGAAGTGGCACCCTTTCTCAAGAGTCTGCGGCAGCTTCTCACCACAGAAGACCCGGCTGTGTTGCGATGGACGCCCGATGGCAAGGCCTTTGAGATTCACGACATGGCCGCCATGATGCTAGACACGTGCTGCCCAAGTACTTCAAGCACAGCAAGTACACGAGCTTCCAGCGCCAGCTCAACTATTTCAACTTCCGCAAATGGACGAAGTCCAAAGCACTTGTGTGCACTTTTTCCAACCCGTTCTTCCAGCGCGACCAGCCGGCGCTGGCGTGGCGTATTATACGCAAGAGACCCGAGAACCTCCGAAGTAGCAGCAGTGTTGCCAAGACGAAGAGAGCGATCGCCATCGACGTACCGTCAGGCGATGCCAGCAGCCCCGGGTCGTTTCCGTCACCCACGGATGCGTACTCGATAGCGGACGAGCTTGCTCTCTTTCGCGAGGCTCCCTTCCACGAGCCATTGACAAGCGATCAGGACGAGCAATCATTGGACTGGGTAGACGTGCTGTACTCATCACTCCAGTCGCCACTACTAATGGACAATGCTACGGGTCCAATGTGCCGCGACTATCCGTCCGAGTGCGCCGAGTTGTGACGCCGCGATAGCAAATGCGACTTGGTTGAGGGGAGTGGGAATAGAGGGTCATCTCTGTATGGAGAGAGGAAGGGAGTACGAGCGATGCATGTCTTGTGTAGTGGCTTTCTCGACGACCAGGTCAGGATAGCTATTGTATCGAAACGAAAGGCCCAGGCTGTATGATGTACCTGTATTTGGTAGTCACATGGCGTGGCAAAGCTCTCACGTTGGCGTACGCCCGCAGACGGCATGTTTACAGCTGTGCAAGCAAGGCTTTGCTGCGCTGTCTGTGATTACACCAGTGGGATCGATACGTTAGCACACAAACACACGTACCACAAATCTCAATGGATGCGTGCTGTCCAGTTTTGCGACCTGACGGACCCTCGTGCCTCTGCATAATCCATCGAAATAAAGCCACAGGGGTGTGTCACGATGGTGACAATGTACCGGCCCTTTGAGCATCTGGACCGGGGTGGGCAGTCGCCCTCTTGCTGCTATACGTTTTCCAACAACGACCAGCACAGCAGAAGGGATACACTTGGCAACTGCAACCAGGTCTGGGTGAAGCGTGACACTGCTTGGTAATGTCGTATACCTTGACGGACCGTCTCCACGACCACTGCGCGCATAATCAGCTCGCGGTTTACAAAGACACGATCAAACGTGGTTGTCAAACGATTTGTGCGTCGGGTGATGCATCACGCGCGTATGTTCCTGATTTCTTTGGAAGAGGCGACAAGTGACAGCGGTGGCGGAACATCGAGACGGCGGAAGATCTCGTGAAAAGTCAGAAGCAGCTTGCTGTCGTCACATGAAAAGTTACGTTCAGTGGCAACGTGGATCTTCGTCCTTCTGTAGTGCGACAATGCGAGTTATACCTCGTGTGTTGAGTAGTTCGACTACCCACTAGGTCGTCCATACTGGACCGACGAGCCCTTTGCTTTCTCGCCATCACCTGATCGTTGAGTGAGAAGAAGAAGAAAAACACACGACTTGCAAGATTGGTCCACGGAGACGTACGTCGAACTGGGTCAGCTGCTTTGCTGCCGCGAGCTCTCGGTGAAGCGAATGGGCACGCGAAGGTCTTCACGTGATCAAGAGCCGTTTGCGATCCCACTGTGACGAGCGACACACCGCATCTAGTCAAATCGAATGAGCAAACAAGGGCGGAGGGATCGCAGCGCCTATCTCGTCGAGATCTCATGACGGCGGTCGTGGTTGTGTCATCTGACCGAGGGACAGCAGAGACCGCCACCTCAGTCTCGCGCAACCGTATGGTACCCCACGAGTACCGCGACCACGCACAACGAACGTTGCGGCAAATCAATATACCCACTAGCGGGCGCTTGTGCTGCTGCTGCTTCTGCTGCTACTGATTGTGACAGACGACCGAATTAGGTATATTACGATGCGTTACCTGCCTGACCGAATGGAAGATAAACGAGAGACTTACAACGCTAGGCTTCCGACTGGATGATCTCCACGATCAGCGCTTGCTGTGTTGTCACGGCCATCTGTTAAATAATGGGCTGCAGCAAGAAACCTCCTAGAGCCATAGCGGTTCCGTCAGCAAACAGCAGTTTGTGGACGTAGGGTCGCTGTCGTCCAGCAGATCCAGCTCCAACTCTGGGTACAGTGCGTCGACCCACGCGAGCGACGCATCTCCACCGAGCGTCTCTGGCTCCGAAGTCGTCTGCTTCACGCGGGTGAGCTGGCTGCTGAGCTGCAGGTCTGGCGCCATGAACGCCAACGGAGCTCGTGGTTCTGCTCTTACGGGGCTGCTTCGAAACAAAGGGTTCTTGGTCGGAGACAGCGAGCGCTTGCGCGTAATGTGCCACGTCAGAGCTGGCTGGTCGCGCTGGAAAAACTGGTTCGAGAACGTGCATACGATGGCGCGCGATTTGGTCCATTTGCGGAAATGGAAGTAGTTGAGCTGCCGCTGAAAGCTCGCGTACTTGCGGTGCTTAAAGTACTTGGGCAGCACGTGTCTAGCCATGGCAGCCATGTCGTGAATCTCAAACGCCTTGCCATCCATCGTCCATCGTAGGATGCGTGGGTTCTCGGTGTTCAGCATGAGCCGCAGACTGCGTAGGAACGGTGCCACCTCTTTTACGGGCGTGCCGTCCGCAGGGTCCTGGATCAGAGGCTGCAGTTTCGCGGGTGCTGCGCGTGACATGAGTGCGGTAGCAGGAGACGGAGGCACACTGACTGAGCGGGTAATCAATGGTTCGCAGAGCAAAATCAATAATGGCAGAGCAACCAGAGCCAGCCGCATCGTGAGCACCGACGAGATGGTGTGGACCCGGTCGTGGACAGCCTTCCAAGGCACTGAAGAACCTCTCGGTATTCCGCACGTAAGAAAGGACGTGCATGTCATTCTCACACTCACCATCTCGAGGTCGGCGACAGATAGGCCGCTTTCTCTCCTACCGTGGACATTATGCAGACATACCACAGCCCTGCAGTTGGACATTACTTCCGCGCCTGGATAGGTAGGTGCCATCCCGCTGACAAATTGGCAGCTCCTACATTTGTCGAGGACGCCCGTGTTGGTCCTCGTCGTCTTTTCGACTGGTCATCGCGGCAAAAAGATCAGTATATGCAGTAGCAGCAACTTGCAAGTGCTGGTGTCGTTTACATGAACGCCGCGCGATCAGATGCATGTTTTGTGTTGCATTCCCAGCACTCCAACCATTTGGTGGTCTGCCGACACAGCTCATACGTGGCTATGAGTCAGCGTCGTGACTGGGCAGCCCTGGGCGATGAGCCAATGCCTAAGTGAGATGGACTTGGTGTAGCAACCTTCTCGACACCGTGGTGTCTTGTCTGCGAATCGTCAGCATGTCGTGTCATCGTCTTTACTGAACGCAGTCGTTCGGCTTCGTGTGTTTGTGACTTATTTGTAGCTCTAGCGATGCAGGGACGATACGAAAGGTCTGCAGCTACCCAGAACAATGCAGCGTTTGAGGCAGAGGAGCTGGCACTGGCGTTTGCCCTTGATACAAGTTACGTTGTTCAGAGAACATAATCAACTTTGAAAGGTATTCACGTCCTCATTCGGATGATTGGTGCAGGCTTGCAATCGAGTGAGCCTCTTTACATATCGTCGACACCAAAAATGGGCCAATGCGATCATTACCTTAATGATCATTATTCCCCAAACTTTTACCTTGCGACGTGAAAATTGATGGGCGATTAGTTAAGTAAATTTTTCATAATGGCCTATATCGAGCTATGCGTGGAGCAGTGCCGAATATTGCCTTGACGGCACTGCTTCACTCGATGTTCGATAGGTCATTTTACAAATTAACTGTGCCAATAGCTGCTAGACAAGCGCAATATAATAAACAAGATTACAATATGTTCACCTTACATACAGTGGTATTTAACTAAGACGAAAGATGCATATTGGACACAAATATTATAGATCGAATACAGATTTATTCTTACCTAAATTAAGCGTGTTCGGTTGGCAGACTTACCATCTTTTACTCGTATAAGAAAAGTTATTGGACTTTGACGGTAACTTTCGAGGAGACGAGGGTGTTCTCTGTGGTGTTTTGAAGACTGTGGTATTGTGCAATTGCGTGTCTTCTCTCACTCACTGTACACACGCACGATTTTCTCTCAAGACATGTAGATTGTCTGAGCAATCTATCGAGATATGTGGAACGTATGGGCGAACGATTGCTATATTAAACTCCTCGCTGCTCCTGCTCTCACTGACAGGTGCCGTGTCGTCGATGCATTGATTTCCAATACTCTTCATGCGGTACCACATATTCTTCAATTACATCATCTCTCGGAGATCCGCGACTCTCGACGCCGACACACTCTTAGTTAGCAAGTTCGAGATCATTTTTCTCGTTCTCGACGTACTTGGGCTTCACAATTACCTTAGAGCTCGTGTCACGTACGAACTTCATCTTGACGTCCACGTGCTTTTGTGCGCTGGACGTTAATTCATTCTCGATCTGCTTTATGGACGCTTGGTTGTCCATTATCATCCTCATCGGCAACGTCACGTTCACATTCATCTCTTCAGTATCTTTTCAATTCCCAAAAACTCTGTAAAACCCACGGCGATATCAATGAACTCCTCTTCGGCAGTGGACAGTGAAACGGCCGATTGTTTCTTCACTGTCCAACCTTTTTGTAATGGCGCACCGATGACTACGTACTGGTCAACCAGTACGGAGTTTACTATCACTGACTGCAGTGATAGTCAGTGCCAGGCCAAGTGTAGAACTACACAGAAGAAGATAGAGCGACTAAGGCAAAGGCTCTAGTCGTGGTAAAAGTAAAACTGTCATTAATATAATTAAGTCCTATAACTATTGTGTCTCTGTTTGTCCTGGCTCAATTATGCTAACATAACTAAACGTATGATGACGTCTACTCACTACCCATTGCGCGTGTCTAGCAGCGATTGTTGGGTTGATGTCATCGCGATATCAACCAATGAGTAGACCCTTCGGTCATCCCAACAATGTCATCAGGCTTTGTGATATTGTTAAAAGAATATTTAATGTAATATTCTCTGTTGTCATTTTAGCCTTGAGGGCAATTTCATGTAATGGGCTACCCCGTTACATCACCCCCTCGTCCGTAACTGATAGTCACCATGTGACCATCGCATCTTTTGTGACCACTTTTTGGATGCCAATGGGACGGGGGGCACTTGTTGGTCAGATCCGTTCATTATGACTTTGCATCGCATAGCTAACAGGTCTATGCAGGGGTGACTCAAGACACGCACAGCCCGCTGCTGTGTCAGCCTCTGCGGCAGACGATTCGTTGTCTGCTGCTCGGTCTCTGCCTGCAGCAAGTGTTGATGCAGGCGCATGTGGTATCGCGCTTCATGCACACAGTGACCCCGAGCTAGTGGTCAGCTACTCTGGCGAGTCAGATGTGTATGACTCATGAAAGCCTTTAGAGGCATCGCCCTCACCTGCGGTGCCTCGTTCATAAATAGACCTGCCAAACGAACGTACTCGCGACATGCGTCACATTCTGTTCGGCAGCGATGATGAAGACAGTGATGAGTATGATGACTCATCATATCAGTAAACTTGTGCGCCTTCGCACGAGCGCGTTGACGATGGCGCGAGCCGTCGTCATAGTGAATACCGTGGTATCAGCAAGGGTGCCACATTAAAGCGTGATGAGCTGAACCGTGGTGTTTACCTGAACAGCTCATCAATAGCTTGTATCACGAGATAAGTCAACACCATCAAATACTTTTATTCGACGAGAGTGAGCTTCACGGTTTGAGCTCCAGCGCGAAGATCTTTTGCGCTGACGAAGACTTCTGTCTCGATGCTTTCATCAAGCATCGATGATACAATAGCAACCAAAAGCGTGACATGGCCTCGCTTTTGGTGGCGTGGAACGCGTTCGTCCGATATGTGACGAATTTCGGGCGAGAAGGATGGCTTCAAATTTTCTGAAGCAGTACGCATCAAGTTTGAAAAGCGAACGCCAACGGATGCAAGGTACCGGCTACATTTTTTGTCGTGTGAGGTAGGCATTCTTTGCCTCACTTGGGGTGATCCTTATTCGAGTTGTGTTGACAACTCGCAACGTGCACATAGGGACGTGTATTCCCTAAGTTCGCCCTGGGGAAGGGCACACATCTCGGCTGAGATACGGGACGCGATTGCAAACTTGCAGTCCGTCTACAAGCACCAAAAGTGCGTGTTTACCGATGAGCCCTCGGACCTATCGGATGAGTCTCTTCATACTGGTGGACGAGACCCTTGACATCAGCTATCAGCTGGGATCGAGGTTCCCAGCTGTCATACGATGGTGGATACCCACGTCAGCGGACAAGGTAACTTGTCCGCTCCACGTTCTTCACGTGATGGCTCCAGATACGCCCCACGTGAAAGCATCTACCACCGTGAGAATCCACCAGTGGCTCTGGTGGTGGTGGAAAGACAAGGTCCAGCTCAGCCGCCGGGCATGCAGGAGACTTTTGGTAACCATGAACGTTACCTGAACGATTTAAGGGATGACGTCGATCACGAAAACGATCGTCGACACGACTTGTTGTCGACCGTGCGACGTCTCCGTGCCGATCAGGAGAAAGACCGATCGGATTTCGCGTTCGTTCAGCTTGAAAAAGAACGCGAGAGGCGCCATTTGCGCGACGGGCTAGAGGCGGCTCGTCGCGAGACTGCGTTGCTGAAGGATCAACTTAAGTGTTTGATCCGTGATCACAAGAATTTGTTGGGTGTTCTCGAGCATGCTGGTCATCTCCGCTCTCGAAAGAGGCCTCGTGCTGATCGTACGGACGGAGACGACTAACATAAAACGTAGGATGCTTGCGCATCCTGCGAGGCAACTCAATCGTGTTTTTTGCCTTTGCTGTGCAATACAAAAAAGGGACCAATGTATTTTGGCAGTCATTTACTACTGCCGACATTGGTGACTGCATGTCCAGGTAAGTTTACCGTAGACAGTAGTACTAGGTCGTTAACTATAACTGAAAGAACATTTGCTCTTCCATTCTTGTCTGCGTTCCGTTTCTGGCGGTCCACCGCTTTTGCGATGGAGCCCTGAACGAAACGGACTACCGCCTCTCGATTGAGCAGGAAGTTCTCTGCTGACTCGCTGTTTTGTCTTTCATTGCGCTTCGTGCGCACTGCTAAGAGACTTTTCTCTTCTTGAGCGAGGTTGTCTTCTTCCTCGCTGGCATAAACTCTAACAATGCTGAATATTACAGCATCGTGCACTGTCTGATGTAGCAGCAGCGTCATTTCTACCGCTAAGATCAACTTTTTCGATGTCAACATTATCGACATCAGCATCAAACGTATCGGCATGTGCGATGATACGTGATGCGCAAGAGCCAAAACGGTTTTTGCTCGAGCGAGTCCCCCCCCTTAACCCAGAGCGTTGTGTTGAGAACTCGCTTCCGCCCTTAACGTAGTTTTTGTAACTGAACGTTCATTACCTACATATGAAACTACTATCTTCCTACTACATGTATATGACGTCGACTCCCAGAGTACTAACTACAGCAACCTCTCTCTGGGACTTCACAGTCTGTTTACATCAACACCTCCTTCCCATACTGGGACTTCACTGTCTGCTGATATCATCCATCGAATCCTTCTGTAGTATGCGAAGGGCATTCACCCTTCAACTTACCCGTCTGGAAAGTCTTGTCAC